CCTAGATTTTTACCCATGAGGCAAACGATAAGTGAGTTGACCCAAGGGGAGTGAATCCCTAACTTATCCTCAGGAGAGATAGGGATGGCAGGGATTCCATCTCCTTCTACCAGTTTCCGCCGGAGGAGAAGTATCCACGAACGAGTCGAAAGAACTCTCCTCTAACAGAAATGGGGCAGTGAGTGCCTCCTTGAAGGATAGGGAAGGTTTAGTTGATGTACCTTGAGTAGAGAAAGGTTTGAGTTGGTTTCTTTCCAGAAGGTCTTGCTCTTCTGTGGATTGCTCTTCGTCTTGCCCGTTTGGTTGTGCTTCGGACGTGTTAGTTGTAGTGGAATAACCCGTCTCCGCCGGTTCATCAATCAGACCCTTACCAGGAGGGCCCTCGCTCATCTCTCTCTCTCTCTCTCTCTTTCCTTGACCTACATTGTACGCTTCATGATGGTTGCTTTCGGCCCTTAAGTTTTAATTTTATCATTTTGATCTTTAAAATTGTCAATTTAAGTCAATTTGGTTTTAAATTTAATGTTTGTTAACAGAAATATGAATAAAAGATAGTTTTGGTCCTTGAAATATGCATTTCTTATCATTTTAATACCCTCAAGTTTTAAATTTTGTCATTTTGGTTTTCAAAGTTGTCAATTTAGTCCTAATTTAATTGATAACTTTAAGGACCAAAATGATAAAATTTAAAACTTGAGAAACTAAAATGATAATAAATTCATACTTTAGGGACCAAAGTTATCTTTTATTCATATTGATGGTAACGAACGTTAAATTTATGACCAAATTGGTCCAAATTGACAATTTTAAGGACTAAAATGACAAAATTAAAATTTAAAAGACTAAAATGAAAAACAATACTTACTTTAAGGAGTAAATCTGTCTTTTATCGTTAATAAATTTTAAGCATCAAAATAATTTTTTTTAATATTTTAAGGAATCAAAATATAAATTCCCTTATTCTTTTATACTGTTTCTTCAATACTAGCTTAAATTGATAACGTCATTGTACACATCAATTATAAAAAGGAAAATGGTTTGTACCCCCACTGGGGAGACCCCAGACCCCCAGTGGTAGCTGATTGGCCCTTTTTTTTTCTTTTTTTTTTTTTTCTTCAATGACCAACCTCCGCATGGGGGTGGGGTGGTCTGAATCAACGTTGTTATAAAAATTCATTTGGTGGCACCCCAATGTCGCGTAAATATGAAATAGCTTCTGCCATGCAAGGGTAGACTAGTCAACAAAACATGATCGATGAATCATCTTCCATAGTTCAAAGGATTCCTGGTCTTGGGTCAACAATTAAGAAAAATCTAGGAACGAACACATTTAAAGAAGTAGTTGGGTTTGTAAACAATTTATGTGGACTAGACTGTTGAATTCGGGTGTATGCGTCTATCATGAATTATATTTTAATGATTTAATTAATTAATGTTTTAGATTTTAGTAGTTATAAAAAAAATTATATTAATCCAATAATTGTAATCACCAAATTTTATTAATTTGTCTTTATTATTTCATCACATTTGATCAATTTATTATGTAAACAAGTTAAATATTAATTTTTGACTCATTATCTATTTCCAAATTATTTTGGTTTCAATATTTTTTTATTATTGGGATTAGATTTGTGGGAAAAGTTATTTGATTTGGATTAGATTTAGAAAGGATTTTTAGGTTATAAACATATGGAGACTCTTACTCCTTTGTTAAACTGTTCAGTTTCTTGGAAACATCCTAGGAGGGATTTCATTGGTAGGCCATTAAGTCATTAGTAGAACTTTGTTGTTTTTGTATGACCTTTGATCACTTGTTGATTTTTTTTTTTAATTGATTGTTGTTTTGTGTCAGTTCCTTAGAAACTTCCTGTGTGGGGTCGAAATTTGGGAGATTTAGGCCTATTTTAAAAAGTTGGTTAAAAGTGTTTATTGATTTTTTGATTTTTTTAGGTTATATTATGTATTTTTTGTTTTTTGCATATTTTTTTTAAAATAATTAAAAAGTTAGTTTTTAACTTACTTCTCAAAATAAGCTTCAAAAACTCTTTTTAATAAAATTTTAATGCATTAAGGATAAATATAAAAAAATTCTTTGAAAAGTCCAACATACACCGCTATTATCAAAATATTTTTAGTGACTAATTTAATATTTTAAAATTTTAAATAATATAACTTTTGATTTAGATATCGATTTTTAATAAAATTATTATTTTTAGAAATCACTCATCAAGATCTATTAAATAAGATTTAGACTGACTACAAAATTCTTAAAATATATATATATATATATATCTTACAGTCGTAATTGGCGTAAATTGTAAAATTTTATTCTGATTCACAGTAAAGTAAATTTTTTTTTACTGTGAATCAGAGTAAAATTTTACTGTTAGACGTTAGTTTCAATAGGAAAAAAATTAATTTTTTTTTAAACAAAATTTCATAACCAACATAGATTTTGACGAGAAAATTCTAAAATTAATAATTTTATTAAAAATCAATATATAGTCAAAAGTTATATCATTTTGAAGTTCTAAATATAAAAATAATTACTAAGGCTAAGATTGTCTATAAAAAAAAATGAAAACAAATTCGTTTATTCTCGATGAAAGAGGTGTTTCTTCTCCCGGGGCTTATAATGAGAGACTTTTGACCCAATATCTAATTTATATTTAGATTTGACTAGATTTGAATTTTTTTTACTTTATTACCATTGTAACTCTTTTGAGCACTTGTTCTTTCGATAATGAACCTTTCTTTTTCGTGTAGACGTAAGCAGCTTAGGCCAAACCATTTAAATCTTGGTATCTTTCTTAAATTTACAAGGTTATTTTGCTTTTTATTTGAAATCATCAACTATCTTGGTATGTTCGAGTTATTCAAAACTTTTCGCGCAATTTGTTAAGTTTTTAAACTAAATTTAAATAACATATTCCTCAACTCGATTAGATTATATTAATTATAAAAAATTAAAGGGAAAATTATAAAAAAAAAAATCTCAGGATTTCGTGTGTTCTTCAATTTAAACCCAAGGGTTTCAATTTTACTAATTAAAACCCTAATGTTACTTTCGTGTCACAATTTGTCCCCGCCGTCCATTTCCGTTCATCTTACGAAAATTATGTATGCTGCTAAAGGAAGAAGATGAACGGAGATGGGTGGAGGGAGTAAATTGTGACACGAAAGTAACATCAGGATTTTAATTGTGAAAACTGAAACCTTAAGGTTTAAATTGAAAAATATGCAAAATCCTGTGTTTTTTTTTTTTTTTTTTTTTTTTTTTTTTTTTTTTTTTGTAATTTTTACCCACGCTTTGACCGGTTCAATTAACACTTATTTCAGATTAAGTTAAAAACTAAACAAATTAAATTTAAAACACATTTTAAAATTGCATAGTCTAGATAACCTACTATTTAGTTCATTTTCTTCACAAAAAATATAAATTTTACTTCTCACAAAAAATATAACTTTAATTACACATAATTTTTAGGTATACATCATAATTTCGTCATTTATAATTTTTATTATAAAAATCATAACTTTTCTTACAATGTATAATTGAATTGAACATTGAAGCACTTCCTTGCGAAATACCATAAAATGGGTATTTGTAAAGTATGTCAAATCCTTCGTATTTTTTTTTATCAAATTTAAATTTGATGAAAAAGTACTCAAAATTATTTCTAATCTTTTCATTAAATATTTATCATCAAGTCAAGGGAGAGTTATTATTGTTTTTCATCAAATTAAGAACTCATTAAATCCTTCATCAAATTTGAATTTGATGAAAATTTTAAAAAGAGAAAACATTAGAGATGTTTTTTTTAATCAACTTTGATGAAAAGAGAAATTTGGGATAAGAGATACATTTTTAAAAAGATTTTGATAAAAATTTGATGAAAGAGATCGAGTAATTTATATCAAATCAAATTTTTTATTCAAATTTAAAATCAAAATAAATAAAAAAATTAGTAAAAAGTTGAAAATGGTCTAATGGAGCTGGGAAGGTGTGATCTCTCTCCAACTCCTGATTCTCAATCTCTCCCAAATGACAAAACCAAATTCCAAGCCCTCATACCAGTTCAATACCCATCATTTATGCTACCAAAGCAGTTTTTTCATGAACATGTGCAACTTTACACTTCGTTTGTTTAGGAGGCAGGTGAAGGATTTGGAGGGATAGAATTAGTTAAAAGAAAAAGAATAATGCTTGGGACCCCTTTTGGGGGTCACCCCCTCACCCCCCTTTGCCACGTGGCGGGTGGTGATTGGAGGAGCAGGAAAAAAAAGAAAAAGAAAAAGAAAATGTAACCAATGAGAGAAAGAGGGGGTCAAAGGGGGTGGGGGGAAAAGGGGGATGAATCATTGTTGAAAGAAAAATGTAAGAAATTCTAAAAGATTTATCAAAATTTATATTAAATGTCTCACATGAGCCACATCATGTGAGACATTTAGTAAGAATTTTAATAAATCTTTAGGATCTTTAACATTATTCGTAGTTAAATTATGTTTGAATACTTTTATAGAAGGAAAATGGAAGTGTATGGAGGAATTACGAGGGGAGGAGTATAAGGGGTTATTTGGGGTGTCCTAAATAAGTATATTTTTTGTCTTTTTGAATTAAAAAATTGAGGAAAAAAATATAGATGTTTGGGTTAACTTTTTGACTTTTTATGGAAAAATGTGTAATAAAAAATTGTAAAAATTGGTTTGTAAGAGAAAATTAGAATTGGGAGTTGTGCAGCCGTAATTGTTGACTTTTGATGAATAATATTAACTTTTTAACCTTTTGAGTAATTTTTTGACTTTTTAACTTATTCTAGACTTGTCAAACTTGACCTAACTAATTTAAGCACTTCTCCAAAATTGAGAACAAACAAAAGAAAAGTGAAGCGCTACTCATAATAATATATTAAAATATCTAATTAAATATATCTGCTTCTTAATTAATTATTGTAACAAACAAGATATATGAGAATTTCATTCCTTTTTTCTCCTTTCCTTTCCCCTCACAACTGACTCTTTCCTTCCCTTCTCCTCCCCTCAAGCCAAGTCTTGAAAATCTTTCATGATGGATACCATCACCACTCTGCTACTGTCATCCTTTCTATGTTCCATCTTAGCATCCTCCACCGCAGTGAGCACGATAGCCACAACTCAATCCATTAAAGATGGTGACACAATAGTCTCCATTGGAGGAAGATTCGAGCTTGGGTTCTTCAGCCCTGGAAGTTCCATAAACCGATACCTTGGCATATGGTACAACAAGATATCTAATGATTCCAGGACTGCTGTATGGGTTGCCAACAGAGAAGTACCCATTGTGGATTCCTCTGGCGTTCTAAAGCTTACCCAAGAAGGCGTTCTCGTCCTCAGCCATAATGATAGCATCAAAATCTGGTCTTCCAATTCATTAAAATCCTCGAACAACCCAGTTGCAGAACTCTTGGATTCAGGAAATTTTGTTTTGAGAAATTCAGATGATCGTAACCCAGAGAATTATTCATGGCAGAGTTTTGACGATCCAACAGATATGCTTTTACCGGGTATGAAGCTTGGAATCAACAACGTTACTGGACTAGACAGGTACCTGTGGTCGTGGAAGAGCAGTGACGATCCAGCCCGAGGAGTTTTTACATACAGGATTGATCCTCATGGATTTCCACAGTATTTTTTGAAGAAAAACTCTGTTCAGCAGTTTCGTTCTGGACCATGGAATGGTCTCTGGTTCAGTGGCATGCCTAGGATATCTTCAAACTCCATTTACAATTTCACTTTTGTGTTGAATGAGAAGGAGATTTATTTCACTTATGAACTTCTCGACAGCTTGGTTGTCTCGAGGATGGTGTTGAATCAAACAGGTGATCTGCAGTTCATGACGTGGAATTGGAGAGATGGGTCAACCAAGAGTTGGGCCCTAGAACTAACCACTGAAAAGACCAATTGTGATGCTTTTTCATTTTGTGGTGCTTATGGTCTCTGTACTGTGGGTAACTCACCAGAATGCCAGTGTTTGGATAGATTTGTACCAAAATCCCCAAATGATGGAGGCACAGAAGCAGATGGTTGTGTGCGGAGAACACCCTTGAATTGCAGTGCTAATGGAGATGGGTTTTTGAAGTACTCGGGGGTTAAATTGCCAGACACACGAAATTCATGGTTTAATTTGAGCATGACTCTTACGGAATGTGAGACAATGTGCTTGAAAGACTGCTCTTGTATGGCTTATGTGAATTTGGATATAAGTAGACGACGTGGATGCTTGCTTTGGTTTGATGAACTTGTTGATATTAGAGAGTTCTCTCAAAATGGCCAAGATCTTTACATTAGAATGGCTGCCTCTGAATTAGGTAACAGTTCCCTTACCAAGCCACATGGAAATCTGGACCTGCAGGCTTAATTTCATTATCTTGCCAGTTCTTGATCTATCATGTTAATATAATATTGTTAATTGTATAGCTTTCTTGCTAATTGTATAGCTGTCTCTTTTCCTTTCTGCTTTCGGTGGTAATGGATCATCATTTGGTATCCAATGTACATTTCTTCTCTCTATAAAGAGAGAGTTCATTTCTCTTGTAATAACGTAACACACTATACAGAAACATTTTGCTCTCTAGCTTCTCTCACTCTTTGCTCTCTAGCTTCTCTCTCAAACTAATCTTTCATATCATATTAGTGATGTTCTTAATTTTCTATACTGCATCAGACGCTATATAATGCAAAGTTAGTGTGGCTTGGTTTGAAGAGAAACATCCCCAAATATAACCTAACCACCTCGAATTCCTAGTTTTCTAGCATTTAAATAAATTTAATTGAATTGCTTCAATATTAAGTCAAGCTAGCCACACTTTGGCGGCACATGTGGTCCGGACAGAGCCAGATCAGGGCACAAGCTGGGGCAATTGCCCCTCCGAATTTTGAGAACTACTGTTTTCATATTTATTTAAACTTTTTTATTTTTCAAAAATGGAGCATGTGATCCAACTCGGTTAGCTCAACTGGCTACACTTGTACATTTCTATTTAGCAGGTCAGGGGATCAATCATTGCTAAGTGCAAAGATTGATAATTTCTACTCTGTAACGAGGCATTTGTTGTGTTATTCATTTCTTATCCATTAGTGGCCTGTTTCTTAGGTTGGTTGTTTCTTCCCCATTATTGGGCTCTAATTTTATCTTCCTAAATTAAAATATTTATTATTTTGATTGTCAAGGAAATGCTTTGTCCCCAGTGGAGAAGAATCCTTCCTCTTTTTGGAAGAGAGAAAAGAGGATCATAGTCATCTCAGTAGTCTCAACAGTAACACTTATATTTGGACTAGGCATTACGTTTTACATTGGGAAGAAGCAGCAGCCAAAAACAGAAGGTAACCCAAATTAATCATTGATGTTTCAGAATCTCATGTTTATGGGTGTGTTTGAGTGTATATGTGCCTTTTTTCAAATTGCAGTAAGTAAACACCTTCACTGAACAAGTTGTTTCATTTAAACCTGTCTCTGCAGGACGAGCAAGGCATCACCCTGGAAAAGGTTACTGCAAAAAAACCAAAAATGAAGATATAGAGGTACCATTATTTGACTTGGCCACAATCGCTAGTGCTACAGATAACTTTGCAATTAACAATAAGCTTGGAGAGGGTGGATTTGGACCTGTTTACAAGGTAACAAACAATATTGGTTACCAAGTTCTAGGCAGTCGGTTCTAAATTATTTCACTATGTTGCTAGAAACTTCCCAATGTCATGCAGAATTGATTACTCTGAAATTTTAGTCAGCACATGTGCATTTAACAAGAGTTGCATTATCCAAACTAGTTCTAATGAAAACCATCGAGAATGATATTCTGCATGGACTTTAATGGTGACTGTTGTACATGATTTTGCTGAGTAATGGCATTGAAAGAAACATTATATAGAAGAAGAAACACAAAAGTTTGATAAAGTAAAATGTACATGGCTTCTTTCAGTGGCAGCATACTGTATCTAACAAACAAAATGGTTTTTAATTTTCAGGGTATGCTGGAGGGGGGACAAGAAATAGCTGTGAAATTGCTTTCGAAATATTCCAAACAAGGTGTTGATGAATTCAAGAATGAAGTTATATTTATCGCCAAGCTTCAGCATCGGAATCTTGTAAAACTTCTAGGATATTGCAATCAAGGAGAAGAAAGGATGTTAATATATGAATACATGCCCAACAATACCTTGGATTCCTTTGTTTTCGGTATCGATATCTCAAAACCATCATATTCTGATTTAACCAGTATTCCAGCTAATTAATTACATTCTACTTCATACTGGATCAAGAACCTGTCCTAACAGACTTTCCCAATGAAAATTTATGTTTCTGTTTACTGGAATCATTTTGCATAAATACTCTAGAAGCTAACTACTAGCAGCTTGGTTTAACTTGGGCAAAAAACTGGACAGATCAATCACGAAGGATGCTGCTGGATTGGCCTAAGCGCTTCCACATTATCAATGGAATTGCTAGGGGACTTCTTTATCTTCATCAAGATTCTAGACTCAGAATTATCCATAGGGATCTAAAAGGTAGCAATATTTTACTAGATCATGAGATGAACCCAAAAATATCAGACTTTGGCTTAGCCAGAAGTTTTGGAGGAAACGATGCAGAAGCAAATACAAAAAAAGTTGTCGGAACATAGTAAGAATCTACTAACACGTTCAAAATTAATCATCCTCTTTCAACAATGCTCATAATCTAGTTTATTTGTTCATTGTTTTCCTGTAGTGGTTACATGTCTCCGGAATATGCAATTGAGGGGCTTTTCTCAGTAAAATCAGATGTATTTAGCTTTGGTGTTATGGTATTAGAAACAGTGAGTGGGAAGAGAAACAGGGGATTCTATCACCCAAATCATCACCTCAACCTTCTTGGGCATGTAAGCAAGCATAGAATTGGATTTTTTTTTCTTTCTTTTAAACAACTGATTAAAGGTGTTTCCAATTGTTCAGGCCTGGATACTTTATAAGGAAGGCAAGGCAACAGAATTGATTGATGCAGCAATAGAAAACTCATGCAATTTACACGAAGTGTTGTGTTCAATTCATTTGGGTTTATTGTGTGTGCAACATCGGCCAGAGGATAGGCCTAACATGTCGACAGTGGTTCTGATGTTGGGCGGAGAGGGTGCTCTGACTCATCAACCTAAATCACCTGGTTTTTTCACTGAAAGGAATCTGCTTGAAGAAGAGTTGTCACGAAGCAAGAATGAACCATGTTCAGCCAACATGGTCACTCTAACACAGTTAGAGCCCCGATAGACTTGTCTCACATTGTCTATCTAAGCCACCCAAGCTTAGTTATTATATTTAAATATTGTCAATTGGTTTTGAGTTGCATAATTTAACATGTCTTAATTTTTACGGTCCAGACATTTGAGTTCAGCTAATGAAAGTTTTGTTGATGTTGTTTTCGAATGGGTTTGGTCATTTAGTTTTGTTTTTGTTCGAGTTATATGATGTGTGATCCTTCTAAACTATGAACTTTATACTAGAAGCTCTCCTTACCAAGTTTTTGCCCACAAGTTGCAACCAGCATCAGAAATCTTTATATTTGGTTGATTTTTTAAATTTTGTTCACTGAAAACTAGTTTGATGAAAAAAAAAAGATTATTTTTATAGAGTAGTTCCATTTTTATATGGTTTATCTTTTTAGGGTGGAAATAATTTTTGAAAATATCAAGATATGTTTTTGGTGTTTATTTTGTCAAATTACTTTGCAATTTAAAAAAAAAAATGAATAAATTAGAAAACAATTCTAAAAAAGGCTCTCAGTTGATAAATCCAATCCTATATTTTCTTTGTTTGGAGGTCCAAGTGTTGAAACATATTGTCCATAAGGACAAGTTAGGGTTATTCTATTTCCACACACTAATTCCTCTCAGTACACACACTTAATGAACGCCTTCTTAATACACACATTATAAAAATATAATTCTTAGTACACATCCCTATATTCTAATATTACCATCATTTTCAATTTTAAAACCCTAAGACTATGTTTGGTTTCAATGTTTGAATCAATTTTTTTGAAATTTTTTTTGAGAAAATTATAAATTAATTTGACAAAAATAAATACCAAAAAAATATTTAAAAATATTTTAATTTTTTTGTCCCTAAAAAGATAAAACCATATTGAAATGAGAAGTTTTTATTTATTTATTTTTAAAAACATATTTTAAAACTAGATTAAACATAGCCTTTTCTTTCTCTTTTTAGATCACTGGTTCTTCTCAATGGAACACAGAGCATTGTCTGGTCATCTAACCTGTTAAGAGTCGAAGAAAGTCCAGTGTCACAGCTCTTAGATTCTGGAAATCTTGTTCTATTTAGCAAGACAGAAACAAATTCTGATAGTTTCCTACGGCAGAGCTTTGATTTCCCATGCAATACGCGGATACCTGACCTGAAGATGGGAGAGAACAACAGAACAAGTCTAGATCAGTACTTGACATCATGGAAAAGCGTTGACGATCCATCTCCGGGAGAGTTTACTTACAGAGTTGATAATCATGGGTTGCCTCAACTAGTAGTTAGAATGGGATCAATAAAAAAGTACCGGTCTGGGGTAAAACTCACATTCATTAATCTTCCCTTGTACAACAATCCGGCATTTAAAACAATGTTGGAGTTCAACAACAATAGATTGATATACATATCTATGTGTTAATGTAAAATGTAAATTGTAAAATGTAAACTACCACCCACCTATCACCTCCACTACCACCCACTCCACCTACCACCTCCACTACCACCTTCACCTACTCCCAAATCCTCTCCTATATAAATCCTTGTAATATCAACACAACAATATCAATCAATAATACATACATTTTAACACTATGAACCATACAACAGCTCTGTCTTTACAAGATTGACACTAAACGAGTCGGGGTTGCTTCAACGCTATATACTGAACAAAAACAAGAAAGGTATTTTGAGGACTTCCATTGATGGGCCAAATTCACGGAATTCCTCTGTTTTTCCATTATTTATTCCATTTATAAATGAACACTTTGCAGCACAGTGATTCTTCCGTTGGACTTGGTAGTGTCAATAAAGAAGACATGGAATTCCAGAGTATCTATGAACCATACAACAGCTCTGTCTTTACAAGATTAACACTAAACGAGTTGGGGTTGCTTCAACGCTATATACTGAACAAAAACAAGAAAGATATTTTGAAGACTTCCATTGACGGGCTAATATCCAATTCATGGAATTCCTCTGTTTTTCCATTATTTATTCCATTTATAAATGAACACTTTGCAGCACAGTGATTCTTCCGTTGGACTTGGTAGTGTCAATAAAGAAGACATGGAATTCCAGAGTCAGTCAATGCTAATTCCACAGTCATCATTTACAGCAAGTCTTCCTTTCCCCTCACTGGGTCATTATTTGCAATAAGTTTTCCTTTCCCCGTCGTTGGGGGCATTATTTAGAAAAACATACTTTCTAAATTTTAGATGTACCTTTTTTCAGTAGGAACTTGGAACAACCAGATATTGGGATTTGATAATAAAATTCATAGACCAGCATAATTTTGTCCCCTTCTTTTGTTTGTCCATTTTTTATTGGGTAAATGACCTGATGTCTTCTCTGATGGGGCATGATAAAGCTGTTATCACTGAAACTGAAGAAGTTTCAACACATCAAGTCATACCCCTCAATGTCAACTTTAGAAATTGCCATTTTAATCTTCTGTTGCTTTGTTTGTTTGTTTGTTTTTTTTTTGTTTTGGTGTTGGTTAAGGTTAAGCATACAGATAACAAAAACTGATACCACTATCAGCCCAACAAACCCTTATTTTCTCTCTATTAGACATCAAATTTGGAGAGCAGGATGTTTTTTTTCTTTTTGTGAGCCTTCTAAAACTTCCTTTCAACTAGTGGTCCAAAGGGGAATCCCATGGAGTATGAACAATCAGTCATGCTCATCACAATAGTCTAAACCAAATTGGCATTAAATTAAGACGATTAAATTCACAGTTGATCTGGACATTTTGAGGAAAGTAAGGCATTCAAAACTTCGTAAGACAGGGCAAGCAAGCTAGTAAATAGAAATTCTATTATAGAATGCAGTTCAATCCAACCACTCTTTCATAGTCTAGCATGGCAGTAGCGAAGCTTCTCCAGTGAACAACTCCATACAATGTACATACTACTAGAGGAAAATAACATGTTCAGAGTTTTTTTTTTTTTTCACAAATAAGATTTATTACCAAGAGCATCAAGAAGATGCTAAAAAATATAAAAGAAAGACCCCCCAAAAAAGGAAAACACCTAACAAATCAAATCATCTACAAAATCCACGAAAGCAAACAAATCTGGGTTCACCCTCCCCGACACCCAACCATACAGAACCTCAAACAACTTGTGCTCTAACCATGATAACGAGCGGGCAACCTCCTAAAAGGTGCAACAATTCCACTCTAACCAAACCAACCACATTAAGCACAAAGGGGCCAAAGCCTAAGCCCAAGCCCTCTTATGCTGCTTCCCAACCAGACCGCCTCCCCAGATAAAGAGAACCTCCAGCACCCCCTTTTGCTGGACCCACACAACACCAAAAGTAGAAAAAATAAGCGCCACAACTGAGATGCTGCCGGACAATGAATAAACAAATGATCCACTGACTCCGCGTTACCACAACAAAAAAACACCAATTGACTTGAATATGATGACGGCGGACCAAATTATCAATAGTAAGGATCCTGTCAAAAACAACCGTCCACACAAAAAAAATAAAAAAAATCACCTTTAAAGGAACAACTATCACCCAAACATGTCAAGGGAACTCCTCCTCCACACACCCCCACAAAACCCGATAGTAAGATGATTACCAAAAAAACCCCTTTTGAACCCAACCCAACAACCCCCCCTCCCCAAAACCAAAACATCATCCCTCACCCCCCCACCTAACACCCCACATAGGAAACCCAATAAGTCCACCAATTGCCCAACCTTCCCTTTTGTTCAGAGTTTGTTATCAGTGCACTGCCAACTTTTTCATTACCACAGATGTTCAGACATCTCATCATGTGCAGCTTCAATTAGGGGCTTATGTATGAGATAAAACGGAGCATCATTTGATTCTATTGATTTAACAAACCAAAATTTTGAAAGAGGCTTACTATAAGTTTTCCACCAAGAGTATTTTCACTGAATTTCTTCACCTTCTATGTGGCTCGCTCATGTAATATAGTGGGCCTATTATTTTCCCTTCACCATAAAATGAGAGAGAGAGAGAGAGAGAGAGAGAAGTTTTGAAGTCTATGATGGATAGGGTAAATTAAACTGACCTCCCTGGAGGTTTCTAACTAATACATTAGTTAGTACCCCTGTTGTTTTGGAAATTGCATCCCCCTCCCTATGGTTTTTAGTCACATAATTTCCACCCTCTATCAGTCAACTGTTAGGTCAACTAACTGATAGGGCTGAAGTCAACTATGGAAAATTTTAAAATACCATTTTTAACCCTAGTAACAATTTCCCTCTTGTATTCTCTCTGATCTGTCTCTCCATTGCCTTGAACCAAACTAACGATAGGCATTAAAGTGGAAGAAAAGAATGCTTCTCCCAAAAGCTAATCACACAACAATCTAAAGCCACTCAATTTTATACAAAGAATCAAAGACTTGAAATTCAAATTTACCAAATAAAACCATAAAACCAATCCATTAACACTGACTGATGATTACAGGTTACAAGCCATGAGAACTTGAAGGACAACCCATTGATGTACCCGTCGCCAATTGCACAAAACAGCAAAAACCCATTACCAGAATTGTTGTAAAACACGCAATATAACAAGAAACTTATACAAGTCAAAGAAAAAGGAGACAGAGCTGAGGAAGCTTACAATGAACATGGTTATTATAGCTTGGCCTCTGGTGCAGAATGAATAATGCTTGCTCATTGTGACAATTGGCATAGTAGAGACCAGACTCACTGTCAGTGACTGCAGAACACGAGTCTAGAAGCGGTGCAATTCTTGAAAGTCAGTAAAATTACCAAGAAGAAAGCGAAACTTTACATATATATAGATAATAGATATTGATATATGTATATACAGTAATTTATAAGTGGATCTATGGAGAGAGAGAGAGAGAGAGAGAGAGAGAGAGAGAGAGAGAGAGGAACCTGATAATTGCCACTAGAGCAAGCAGTGCAAATGATGACAAAAATTGATAAAATGAGAAGCAGCTACATTTGGCTTATTTGAGGTGAGTTATTCTTCTTTCGATCACTAACCAGTATGCAAACATATAGCATGAGATTCAGATTTTCTTTTCAAGTAATGCTAGGAATACAGAATGGTCCAAAAAAAATGCAATGGATGGCTAGGATTAAACCCAGCTATGGTGTGGTCCACATTCAAAATAAATCATTGACTCTGAATACACTTTCTGTGA